TAGATAAAGTGTTAGTTCGGCCTCAAATCAAATAAAATTAAAATAATGAATATGTGTATTATTATTGTATAAGATACAATAATTACGGTCGTTATATGTTAGTTATATCGAAGCTGAATTAGCAGCGCAAAGCAAGGATATAGTAGACTAATCATAATAATATGTAGCAACAAACAAATAAATACAGCAACTTAATTAATTTTGTTACAAACTTCTTTTCGTTGATTACTTGGACATTTTATTGAAATTAAAGTGCAATAGTCTCATTAGCTGTTATAACTCCGTACAGGCATTAAAGCATAGTCGCTAGCAGCACGAGAAACGCGCCTGTCAGTATGCAGCGTTTATTTGCTCAAGAGAGGCGCAGTCAGGGAAAGGAACAAAAAGCGGAGAGACAGTCATTCAGTCAGTCAATCAGGCATTCAGGCAGTCAGTCAGTCAGCCAGTGGATAGGTAGAGAGGCTCATCCGAAATGCAGTCAACGTGACTTTGTTTACTTGGCGTAGTACGCCGAAGCCGCATCTCGTATTTATGTGCACGAACCGCACTGCAGAGAACAAATGCACGTAATTCTGCTTACTTCGTAGCATTGCAAGAGTGCACTGTGCCCACCGACGGATTTTTTAGGACATTTTTTTCCCATCTGTGGTTGCGGTTGTCTGACGGTCAGACAGGCAGTCAGACATACCGACATGCCGACCTCTGGCCTTAATCAGAATCGACAGAGTAAAACTAAGGCGCCATTTTCTATTGTAGTCGCCAGGACGTTCGTTGTCTCCTAGTGACCAAAAAAAGTGTCCTGTTTGGTATTTTTGCTTTGGCTTTGCTTTGCTTTCAGTCTGCGCCTGCATATTGCATTTATTTACATAGGCCTGGCGGACTGCCTGCCTGGTTGGTTGGTTAGTTGGTTGGTTGGCTAGCTGACTGCCTGGATGACTTTTGATTTAAAGCTCTTAGGTCCTAACTCAATTCCCTTTCGACTATGTAGCTCTCATTCCACCAGGTGTGGTAACGTGTACGTGTGTGTGTGTGTGCGTGGCAGTGCAAAGGCGTGCATTGCTCCCTTATATCTATTTGCACATGCATTTGCGTGCTCTGCCCCCTTTGAGCTGAGTAAATAGGCACAGCGCTTGCAGCTGTCAGACTCCGACATAGTCCGTGACCACCATCTTTAGTTTCATGTGACCTTAGTTCAAGTTAAAGCTATGTGGGTTGCGGGAAAATGAATTAAAATGGTTCAGCCTTATGACTTAAAGCTGGAAATTCACTCACCTATGATGAGGTGGATGATGGAACGAGATTTTTACAACGCATTGATGGTCTGACCTTACGCTACCACATCAAGACTAAGAATAATCAAAGCGTGTCCTCATTCTATTAGACTCCTCCTATAAGATTTGATTTACAAAAACAATATACTTTTTTCATATAGGTATTATTAAGTCTATGCATGTATATCATGTAATCATTTATTCTTTCTCAAAAATGTAAGCCTTAATTAAGTTGAATATAAATGTAGAAGAAAGCTAAAGAAATCTTGTATCATAGATTAAAAATTACTAATAATACTATAATAAACCATGTCAAGCCAAAAACTACCATATATTTAACTTTTAACAAAGTGTATTGCAAAAATGTATATTAAATAGTGAATAGGAATAACAATAAATCAATTTAATGTCTTGTGTAATGGAATATAGATATCTAAAACTAGTATTGAGTCATCAATGGAATTTTCGGACGCTTGACGTTCACTGATTGCCTCCACGATTCGAAGAATATAAAAAGCCTTGTCAACAATTGTGACCACATTTTTGACTGCCAGACTGACAGGGAGATGGACCACTATTCTAAAGATTGCAAAGTTCTCTTTGCTTTATCACTTTTGCGGCACTCAAATTTCGAACTGTAATCAGAAGTGCAACCATGGAAAATGTTTTCACACTCGGCTATGTGGCACTGGAGAAAATATTTTGCTGGTAAACATGATGACCCCAAAATAAACAAGAAGAAGAAGGAGCGGATGATGTTGCTGATGATGAAGAAGATAGTACGAACAGGGGAAGAAAGGCACTCGTGCGCGCCAAAGAAGACGTCATAATAATGGCCGAGCTGCAGGAGGCTCGTAATCAGAGCCTCGAAATATGCAATGCGAAAAATCAACACAGCAAAAGGAGACTGCAAAAGAAGGACTATGGCGAGTCGACCTCAATTACCCTCGTTTTGCAATGCGAAAAGGGCTTGTAGCTAAAAATTAGTACATATTTACAGGCGTTGGCGTGAAAATTTGTCACCTAGCCCGACCCAGAGCCAGAGCCAGAGCCAGAGTCAAAGTCAGAGCCAGAGTCGGAGTCGGAGTCGGAGTCAGAGCCGGAATGAATGCCACTGAGCAAACATGTCTGTGTGTGTGTGTGAAATTGAGCCTACAGATATGCAACGTGCAGGTTGTTGCTATTGTAATCGACACTTGGGCGGCGCCCATCGAGGCAAACAGTTGCCACTGCTCAACGCTGCGACTGCGCGCTCTTCGGGGTGGCTGATTCCCTCCAGCAGGGCCCCAGTGCATTCGTAGGGGCAACAGTGCAGCCTGGCTCTCGGCTGCCTGGAAATATGCAAGCCTCTGATTGGCCCGCTCGAGTCGTGCTCATAAAACTTGCAGCAAGGCAGCTGATTGGCCGAGCTCGGCTTTAGGGCAACTTCCAGTGCGCATGCGACGGGAGAGAGAGAGAGCGAGAGCGAGAGAGCCTCAGGGACTTGCTCAGCAAATAGTAAGAGCTGCTATGCATTACAGTAGAGTTTATTTATCCCTTTTTACGCCGTCTGGCTGGCTGGCTGCTTGTCTCTGTCCATATATATGTACACATATTCATATACATATATATTTATATAGATACTTGTATTTGTGTGCGTGCGAACGTTTCTGTGAGCGATTCAAGTTAGGAGTGTGGTGAAAAACTGTTGGGGAATTCTGGTGATATTATTTATATTTTCATAATCATATGTATATCGATACTAAATGCAATTGGACCATTGTTTTTCTGGGGTCTAATTTACGAATATTATACACTCTATAATGGTTCAATAAAATTCTGGTACAGTGAATTAATTTCGATAGATCTAAAATGGGATCTTGGACTTCAATCATTTGTGATTTGTATTGTTCTTCATCACTATTTTTTAGTTTTATTTGTAATTGATTTACCCAAGCCTTTATTCCCATAGACGTGTTTCAACCCCCAAAAGTTCTCTTAGATTTTGCTGTCTCGCTCTCTCTAAATATTTACTCTTTAAGAGAGACTACACAAAAGTCTACACAAACCGAATTTCAACTCGGCGCATCACACATTAGCTCAACAGCTTTTGTACACAGTGCGAAAGTAGAGGAACTTTATTGAAATATTTCTACATTGGGATGACAAAATTTCTTATATATAGTAAACTTTTCAGGGCGTTAAGTGTACTTACACTTCAATTACAAATTTAATAAAGTCTATAGAATAAACATGTATTTATGTTTTTGCATAGGATAGAAATATTTTTCAGTGCAGTGTATGCGGCAAAATCGGAGCTTTTAAGCGAAATGCTGATAGGTTACCGTGAGCGTGTAGAATTTCTTTGGGGATGTTTGCACTTGTTGCCGTTACTTGTATTGCAGAGAGCTTAAGTTGCGGCGAATTCAACCTGGCAACATGTTCGAGCTCGGCTTCTCAATGAGCTGGTCAACCGCTGAAGCAAAGCACGTCACAGAGTCCTCAAAGCAGATAACGAATCCAATATCTAAATTATTAATTTAAGTTGAGTGAGTTTTGTCATTGGATTCAGAATCACGGTGAACTGAGAAGCTGGGAAGCTGTCCCTCTCAGTCGATACATGTTGCACGCAGTGTGGATGCAACACATCTTCATTATTGGTCCAGGCTACGTCGGCTGGCTGCAATCGTCGTTAGCTCGTCGTATTTGCCGAGATTTGCACTTGGCCAAAAGCAGCAAGAACAAGCGTGCAGTTGTTGGCAGCAAAAGCCGTTATCTGGTGGCCCTACGACTTCGCCGTCGTCCATTTGCCGGTTCGTTGTGGCACGTCGTCTACCGAAATTTCCTTTTCGTCGTCCTGTCGGCCGTGTCGCTTCGTGTCCTCGTGCATTTGCTGGGTCTCGTGCTCGTTGCACATTCGCCACACTCAATGTCAAAGCAGCAGATTTTTTCGGAATGCGTTAAGGATCAGTTTTACGCGAAATACGGTTACGAAAGGTTGCTGACGACAAAGAACCGGCGTCTGAGCAAACATTCCTCTGTCTTTCTTTGTGCTCCTGCCCTTATGTGTGAGTGTGTGTGTCCGTGAAGTCGAAAACTTTACCGCGAGATTGTGCAAATGTCTGGCGACCTCAACGAAATGTAAATTAACGCCTCCGAGTAAACTGAGAACTGACCTAAGCCAAGGCTCTTCCTACTGTAACTGACCTAGGACACGCCGAAGCTCATGTAGAACAAAGCTATAGAAAGAACTTTTGCATATCTTTGGTACGAAATGTTTTTAAGGAACGCATAATTATTCAAGAAGAAAGTACATTTATGAGAGTGCTTTAGAGTCTTTGCAGCATCTAAAAAATACTAAATCTGAATAAGATAATTCTATATTGATTAGTTAAGTTAGTACATACCTGCACTATATAACATAACTATATATATAAATATATGTAGACGTATACAAGCATGTATATAACTATTCCTATAAGATATAATTTGATTCGCAAGTAAGTTTATTTTAGGAAGAATCTGCATTCTGAAATAATTCTTCCAATAAAGTCAAAATTTATGAATCGCTCGCTTAACTAACTATGGTTGTGAAAATATGCGAATTGACGGTCCGAAATACTTCAATGATATTTGAACTTTATCTTGGCTAAATAGAATCATCTATATTTCCCAGTAAGTTCTGTAGAGTTGTATTCGCTTACAAATCAGTGAATATTAATGTATTCAATCAGTATTCAGTAAATATTAATGCATTCTCATATCACTACTCAATGCTAGAAACTAATGGAATTTTGAAAACGTTCGTAGTGTTTGAATTTATAAGTGTATTATCTAAGCGAAAGTGTAAATAACGATTCTATTTAATATCGCGGAGCTTCCTCTGACGGAAAGTGTTTAAGCAAGTGAAAGAAGGTTAATTTCCATTTAATTTCAAATATATCATCATAAACTGCATATAGATTGCGCTAATGGTAAGCATTACAAAGCTTTAATATATAAATATAATAAAACAATAGTAGGCATATGTTTTATTATGTGATCTTGTTTCCTATAAAATCTTAGAATGCCAATCGAATACTTGTAACATATTTTTGATAATATTGTGATCAATCTTCTTTGCATTTTATTAGGTAACATAAAATCTGTTTTAAGATATGACTTTCGTTGAGATAGGTGACATAAAACATAGTTTTTAAATAAGTATATGCAAACAACATGTAAAAGAGTTTTAAAATAATATTGGCTAGCGAGGCATAATTTGATTTTTTCCTCTGCGATTTTTGTAGTTTTTAGTTACATTTTAAAGTTAACAAAATAATTAAAAAGTTTACATACGATAAAAAAGCCTAAAATGATCATATATGGGAATTAATGTCATAATATACTTCATAATAAAAATATAAAAAATTACAAAAAATATACAATTTTTTTTTTTTTTTTTTTTTTTTTTTTTTTTTTTTAAAAAAA